CCCTTTGGCCCCCCAGATCCGCCCCAATCCCTCTCAGAGGCCGCTCGGTGTCCCCCCGACCCCTCCCTGTCCCTACAGATCCCCGTTTTCCCCTCATTCCCCCCCGGGCCTCACTCGGCCGCCGCCGCCATGTTGCGATCGAGACACATCCGGGTCCTCCCCCGCCCGCGTCGCCGCGGCGACAGACCCCGCCCTCAGGGGCGGGATTAGGGTTAATGAGCCCGGTATGGACACAGAGGGGCGGCCTGAGCTACGGCGGGACGGAATGGGGGTGAGAAGGTGGGGTTTAAAGAGGGAGAGACGGAGTTTAATGCTGAAGGGGGGGGGGCTTAAAGCGGAAGAGATACTCAACGTGCGGTCAGGGCGGGATTAAAAGGGAGAGCGGCCAATCGCGGAGCAAGCAGCGGGGATTGGCATCGCGCTGCCCAATCGGATCGCGATGCCCTGGAAGCCGGATAAGATGGCGGCGGTGTGAGGGGAGCGCTCCTGGTGCACCTCCGGGCGGCTTTGACCGTGTGTTCTCCTCCCCTCAAAACCCCCGGAGATGCCGCTCCGCGCCGTGCTCAGGGCCGCGGCCTCGTTGCGCCGCTGCGGTGGGTATTTATTCCCCCCAAAACCAGCCTGTCCCCGGGCATCCCCCCGGACACCCCCCCAAACAAACCCGCCCCCGCAACCCACTGACCCCTCTCTGTGTTCTCCCTCGCTTTCCATCCCCCACTGACCCCTTTTCCGTGTCCGCTCGCAGGTCCAGGTCTGTCACTCCCCACCACCCGCCTCCTCCCCGCTCTCCCCCCGCCGCCCCCCAGACCCGCCCTCATGGCCACGCTGAACCAGATGCACCGCCAGGGCCGCCCCAAGTCGCCCCCCCGCAAACTGGGGCCCACCCAGGGCCGCCCCCAAATCAAGGGAGTGGTGCTGAAGAACCTGATTCGCAAGCCCAAGAAGCCGAACTCGGCGAACCGGCGGTGCGTGCGGGTGCGGCTCAGCACGGGCAGGGAGGTGGTCGCGTTCGTGCCCGGCGAGGGGCACAACCTGCAGGAGCACCACGTGGTGCTGGTGCAGGGCGGCCGCACTCAGGACCTGCCCGGCGTCAAACTCACCGTGGTCAGGGGCAAGTATGACTGTGCCCACGTGCAGAAGAAGAAATGAGAGTGGGGCACACCCCCTCGGGGGACCTGGGCGCGGGAGAAGCTGCGCCGGGGAGCGCGTAGCGAGAATGAAAGGCGATTTGTGGTGCAAAAGTTGTGCTGTTTGAGTCGTGTTGGGGGCAATGCGGAGGGGGTTGGCGGGGGTAGGGGTGGTGGGAAGGGTCGTGGGAGCACTAGAAAGGGGTCTGTGGACACTGGGTAGAGTCGTGGGGGGACCTTTGGGCACGGGGGGAAAACTGGGGACCCGGGGGTGGCAGCTCGGCGCACTGGGGGGTGCTTTGGAGGTTCCTGGGTCGTTACTGGTGGGTCCTGGGAAGTCACGGGGAGCTCACCGACCACCGGGCTGTTATAAATTGAGACCACAAATGATAAAAGTACCAATTAAAATTTATTTATTAATGAGAAATAGCAAGCGGAATATGAGCAAATGCAGCGCTGGGCGACGGGGGGGGGTCACCGCCCCTCCAACTGCCGCGCAAAGCACTGAAATAAGTCCCTTTTTATGGTTTCTTGGTTTCCGTTTTTTTTTTACATCTCCCACCCTAATTTATTACAGGGCCAGCCGGGAGGGGGCGTGGCCAGAGCGCTCGGCGCGCGCATGAACTCCGCCCATTCCGCCACGTGACCCCACGTGAGCACGGTGCCGGTGCCCAAGATGGCGGCGCGCAGGGCGCTGTTGGCGGCGAGGGGGGCCGTGGGACGCGGCCGGCGGGGGGCGGCAGCTGGGGGGGCCGGTGCCGCCGCTCCCGGTGCCGGTTTGGGGGGCGCGGGGCGGAGCCGTCTGTACGAGCACGTGCGCGAGGGGCTGAGCGCGCGGCCGCAGCTCGACGTGACCGCGCTGAACGAGAGCGACGTGGAGCGGCGGCGCGGGCCGCTGGGGGGCGCTGAGCTGCGCGAGATCGTGAGGGGGGGCCGTCCGGGGGCGGGGTGGGAGTATGGGCGGGGCTTTGACCGAAATTGGGCTGTGAGGGGTGGGGCCGGCGCGTGGTGGGCGGGACTTAATGCGAGGGAGCGGGGCCTGCTAGAAAAGGGGAGTGGGGGTGTGGAGCCCCCCGGGCCGATGGGGAGGGGGATCTTTGGGGGGGCGTCCACCTTAAACACGCCTTCCCCTCCCATCCCCCAAAAGGTGCAGGTGTGGTCCCGGCTGGGGCAGGTCCGGGATGGCATCGCCCGCCTGGAGGCCGAGAAGGGGCAAGTGGCCCAGGGGGTCCGCGAGCTCATGGTGAGACCCCCCGGAACCCCCGAGAACCCTCACTGCATCCCCCAGTTTTGCCTGGGATCCTAGCGGGTTACCCCAGCCCCACTCTGCTCCCCAGAACCTCCCCAGGATCCCCCAGGTCCCCCTAAGACCCACCAAGGCTCCCCACCCGGGTATCCCTGATCCCCCCCTCTATCCTTCCCAGGACCCCCTGGTTCCCACTGGTGCCCACTCAGTTACCCAGACCCCCACAGAACTGCCTCTCTCTCTCTCCCCCCAGGCATCCCATGACAAGGCGACAGTGGAGTCGGTAGGAACAGGGTTTGGGGGAACTGAGGGAGGGGTCAGGGACCCCCCAGTGCTCCCCCTATGCACCCCTGACCGTGGCCCCCCCGCAGCTCCCAGCGTACGCGGCGCTGCGGGCGCGGGGCCGGCAGGTCCGGGGGCAGCTCCGGGAGCTCGAGGCTGAGGAGTCCGACCTGGAGCAGAGGTTCTACCTGGGGGCCCTGCAGCTGCCCAACTGCACCCACCCTGCTGTGGTGAGCCCAAAACCGCCCCAGACACCCCCTGCAGCTGCCCAACTGCACCCACCCTGCTGTGGTGAGACTGGAGGGCTCCTGATTCCCGCCCCCAACCCCTACTGTGCCCCCCCAGCCCGTCGGGAACGAGAGCCAGGCCCGGGTGCTGGAGGTGGTCGGGGAGAAACCAGGTACAGGGGGAACTGGGAAGGAAGGAGGAGGAGAAGGAGGGTTCTGGGGGAAAAAAGAGGGTCCTGGGGAGGCGGGATGAAGACACTGGGAAGGCCCCAGGGTGAGGAAGAGGAGGGTCTGTGGGGAGAAGATGGGTCTAGGGGAAGATGAGGAGGATCTGGGGAGTGGGGGGAAGGGTCTGGGGTGATGAAGGTGACAAAGTTCCCCCCCCCCCAGTGTTTGACTTCAAACCAAAGGGACACCTGGAGCTGGGGGAGGGGCTGGATATCATCCGGCAAAGGTGAGAGAGCACCTGAGGGGACACGCATCTGTCCCATGTCACACCTGTCCCATCTTTCATGTGTCACATGTGTCCCATATGTGTCCCCCTACCGCAAACGCCTGTCCTACGTGTCGGGCCGTCGCTCCTATTACCTTTGCGGGGTGGGGACACCTCCAGGCGTCACACACGTGTCCCACACGTGTCCCCCTGTCCCAGGCGCCTGTCCCACGTGTCGGGCCATCGCTCCTATTACCTGTGTGGGGCTGGGGCGCTGCTGCAACACGCACTTGTCTCCTTCACCATGGGGAAGCTGCTGCCCAAGGTACAAGGGGCTCGGGGGGGTTCAGGAGGATCCATGGAAGGTCCGGTCAGGCCCCACGTGCCCCCTGATGACCCCCCTTTTCCCCAGGGTTTCCTGCCTATGACAGTCCCTGACCTGCTCCGAGGCGCCATTTTTGTGAGTGACCCCCTGTACCCCCCACCCCCCTGACCCTCCAGGACTCCCCCTGACCCCCTGTGACCCCCAGGAGGGCTGTGGGGTGCAGCCCAGCGCCACCCCCTCCCCCGTTTACACCATCGACCCATCGCGCTTTGAGGACCTTTGCCTGGCTGGGACCTCGGAGGTGGGAATTGCAGGTGGGAAATTGGGCAAAATGAAGGGGAAAAATGGGGAAAAATAGGGGACAAGGGTGGGAAGAGGGGGTGCAAACAGCTTTGGGGGGCTCCCTGTGCCCCCCAGCCCCCTCAAACTCACCCTCTGGCCCAGGGTATTTCATGGACCACGCGGTGCAGCTGCAGAACCTGCCTGTCAGGTACTGAGGGGGTCTCCCCCCACTCCAGCTCCCCCTTCCCTTTTGGGGTCCCCTCACCCCTTCCCAGAGGGTCGTGGGCGTTTGCGGGATTCCCCCTGACACCCCATTTCCTCCCCCAGGGTCGTCTGCTCCAGCACCTGTTACCGTGCTGAGACCGACACGGGGCGGGAGCCGTGGGGGCTCTACCGTGTCCACCAGTTCACCAAGGTACTGGGAGCATTGGGAGGCCTCCTGGAGGGAGCAGGAAAAAGGGAGGTCAGCCCTGTGTGCCCCCTAAAGGTGGAGATGTTCGGGGTGACGGCTGCGGAGCACGGGACGGAGAGCGAAGATCTGCTGGCCGAGTTCCTGGGGCTGCAGAAGGAAATCTTCTCGGAGCTGGGGCTCCACTACCGGTGAGGGGGGTTTTGGGGGTGTCCCCTCTCTGTGTGTCACCACAAAATCCCTCATGACACCCTTAATTGCTCCCACCGCCTGCAGGGTCCTGGACATGCCCACGGAGGAGTTGGGGCTCCCCGCATACCGCAAGTTCGACATCGAGGCCTGGATGCCTGGACGGGGCAAATACGGGGAGGTGAGAGGGGACCTGGGAGGACGTGACCCCAGAATTCCAGGAGCATCCTGATATTTCGCGGGTGATCCCCCCTCACAGCATCCAAGGGCAGAGACTTTCCTGTTTATGGGACAGATGGAGAGTTCCCCCGATTTTTATGGCAAATCAGGAGACTGACCCCCATTTAGGGGGTCCCTGGACTGAGGGGGGAGTCTCCCAAAACCCTCCAAACTCTGTTTTTGAGCCCCCTTGCCCCCCCAGATCTCCAGTGCTTCCAATTGCACCGACTACCAGAGCCGGCGGCTGAACATCATGTACAGTGACGGGCAGGGCCGCCTGCGCCACGCCCACACGGTGGGTCCCCGAGCCCTGTGGGGGCACCCAAAACCCTGTGGGGGCCCCCAAGCCCCTCTAAACCCCCTGACCCCTCCAGGTGAACGGCACAGCCTGCGCCGTGTCCCGGATGCTCATTGCGCTCCTGGAGAGCAACCAGCTGCCGGTGGGTTTTGGGGGCCTGGAGGGCGGTCCCCGGGGTGAATCGGGGGCACAGGGAGGGCTCACTCCACCCTGGTCCCCCTCATTGCCCAGGATGGCCGCGTCCGTGTCCCCCCCGTCCTGCAGCCCCTGGTGGGGCAGGAGGTGCTGTCCCCGCCCCCTGTGCCCCTCCTGCGCTACATCGGCCCCAACCAGCCGGGGGGGGGCCCTGGAGGGGACCCCAGAAACAGGGCAGACACCGGGGAGGCTCCCTGAGGTGACGGGAGCCCTGGAAGCACCGCAAGGGCAGGAGTCAGACGAGAGCACGGATGGACACGGGCTGAGACGGGACACAGGCGGCAGAGGACAGACATGATGTGCAACACGGGTCACGCGCGGGACAACCCCCAGTCTGTGTCCTCCACGGTAACAAGCCCCGAAATAAAGTCTTGGATCCCTCCCACGAGCAGCAGCCCATGGGCATGCGCCTGTTTGTGCCCCGGGGGCGCTCTGGGCACATGCGCCAACCCCACTGCGAATGCACACGCTTGTCCCCCACCACACGTGTGTTCTCTGCACGCACACATGTCCCAGCACACATGTGTCTCTTCTCTCTTTTATTTCCCCTCGTCCCCCCCAGCCGCTCATGGCCCTCCTGGGCCTGGGCAGGGGCAGCTTTGGAGGCTCCTCCACAACAGGGGGGTGGGGGAAGGACCCCCAAGTCCATGCGGGGGCTCCGGGGGGGCCCCTCAGTCTGGGCAGCGTCCACTGTTGATGACAATGTCGTCGTACTCCTCCTGGGAAAAGGAGGCAGTTTGGGACGGCTGCAGGAGTTTGGGGGGGCTGCCTTGAGCCCCTCCAGCTTATGAAAGGAGCCCAAGGGGTTTTGGGGGGAAGAGGGTCACTGACCTCGCTGTCCTCAGCCCCCGCCTCGCTGTTGCTGTCATCACTGTCACTGTCGCTGGGGGGGTCCCGGGCCCCAAAGCGCCGCAGCAAAGGGGGCAGGCGGGGGTCCGGGCGGCGCCGGGCACTGTACAAGGGGGTGTACCCCGAGAACGTGCAGGGGTCGGGATGGGCCCCCCCCCGCAGGAGGCACTCGGCCACCTCGGGGCTCTGCGCCTCCACGGCCAAGTGCAGGGGGCTGCGGCCGCAGCTCGGCTCCTGGGGGGCACGGCGGGGTCAGGGGGAGCTCGGGGAGGCTCGAGGACCCCCCAGCCCAGTTCGGGGGGCACCCACCGGCCGGTTGGGGTCGGCGCCCGCACGGAGCAGCAGCTGCACCAGCTCCAGGTCCCGGCGCAGGACGGCAACGTGCAGGGGGGTGTAACCTGGGGGAGTGTTAAAGGGGAGTCAGGGGGGCCACCAAAACCATGAGCTGTGTCACTGTGTGACCCCCTACCCCAAACTGTGTTGCCAAACCACATTCCCAACTTCCCACACAGCCCCACAGTGTCCTGCACCCCCAC